CTTCTCAATATTGCCCCCCCCACGCCCCTTCCGTCGCGGCCATGGGGCACACGGCCTTGCGGCCGGTTTTCTGTGTCTCCACCCTTCCACGCTGTTGCAATGGTGCTATCTTCACCATCTCCTACTGCTGCTGTGTGTGGATGGTGCGCGCGTAGTGACCAGCGCGGATATTGTGTCTTTCCCCCGCCTCTTCTTACAAGGCCTCACGTGCCACATCCAGCTCCTCGTCATCGCTCGCCACCGCAACCGCCATGACCGCCGTCTCGCCCTTCGCCTCTTCCTCGTCCTTCGCCGACGGGCACTAGCTCTTATCGTGTCCATACCCATCGCAGTTCTCGCACTGGCTCATGAAGTCGGCGATGGGGGTAGTGCACGAGAACGACTGGTGCCCTCGCCTCTTGCACCGGTAGCACCGGCCCCTACGACGGCCGCCGTAGCTGCTGCCGTCTCCACCGCCGTTGCCGTTGCCGTTGCCGCTGCCGCCATTTTCGCCGTTTCCGCCACCGCCGCGTCCCCCGCGGCCGCGGTTGCGACCAGCTTTTCCGCCGCTGCCATTGTCGGCGCTCACGAGTAATCCCTGCTCAGACGCCTTGTGATTATTGCGGTTGCTGTTCCGATGGCTCTTCCCCTGCTTGATGCTGGAGTGCTGGGAGCCCACCACTCTGATGACCTCTCCCCGGTCCAGAGTCAGTGCGGACTACAGAGTCAGTTTGGCATGGTCGTACTCGGCCGGTAGGGCCGAAAGGAAGAGCGACAGCACGTAAGAAGCCTCGACCCTGACCCCTCTCTCGTTCAGACGACTTGCGAGTTGCTCCATGGCGATAAGCGATTCAGTCGGGTTTTTGTCGGCCGGCATTGCGAAGTTCTGAAACTTGCTGAGCAACTCCTGTGTGGCTACCTGCGATTCCGGGTTGTGCACCTTGTCGAGTTCATCCAACGCCTGCTTCGGCGTCACACATCTCCCGAAGACGGCCTTGTCTGGCTCCCTCACCAGGGCCGAGGACAGAAAGTGGAAAGCTTGGAGGCTGCGGTGGATCTGCGCCTCGGAGTACCCCTCTGCCAGCAACGTAGCTTTGGGTTTGTTCATGTCCCCGACGTCCGGCTGGGGTTCCGTGGCCCCTACGAACTGGCCGTCCATGTCTACTGTTTTAGCAGCCTGCAAAAAGGCCCTCCTCCACGAGTAATATCCCTGGCCGCCTTCGAGACGCGGCGCGTGCACTGACACACGCATTTTGCCACACGGGTTCTGGTGAAAACCATCTCCTTCTCCGACGAATCCGCCAAAACCACCGGTACCGCCGCCGTATGTCTCGGTTGTCTCACCTTGGGGGAGCGATCCCCTGTCACGTCCGCCACCCGGCCCAACCGCCGGGTCTCAGCGTGGCGTGATTCCCTCGTTTTGCGGTGCCCCCTCCTGGGTACCGCGGGTGGGCGCATCGCCCGTAACGACAGCGCCCACCCCAGCGCCGCCGGACTCCCCCTCCTTCTCTAACTTTCCGAGGGCGGATCGAAGCAGCCCAGACAGCTGCTGTACCTCGTCCGTCAGGCCTGAAACTTTGTTCTCCAGGTTGTCAACTCTGCCCTGCGTACTAGTGATGACGTCGGCAGCCTCTGCTGCAACATCGGCGCCACTCATCCCCAGCACGGGTTCCCTCGAGGGATACACTCTAGAGTGTTACTATACCCATGTATGTGTGTTGAAGATGATGGTATCACTTGTATTTAGGACAGCAGACACGATCAGGACGCGGCGGGAGAGAGAGAGTGCCACGACACAGCAAGCACTCGCGCAGAGTCGAGTCCCGTGGATCAACCATGAAACCAACCCAGGGGACTATCAATTCCTTTCTGCGTAGCCACTTTCTACAGTCCCGTTGGAATATTCTCATCCGCTCATGCACACACGAACAGCTTCTCCGCGGGCACTGCCTGCAACCCTGCAAGACGTGTGTGTGTGTGCAACAAGGCGGCTTCTCCGCGGGCGGCGACCCGGGGTCCGACGCCCTTGCTCACACACCGCGCTCCGCGGTTATCACCTCTCTCTGCCAAACGTAGTTTTTACCAGCCGCCACGTCGGTGCAACCGCTGTAGACTAGACTACATATCCATGTTGTTGTCTTCACATTAAACCGAATGTCAGTTGCTAAATGCCAAAATCTAGCAAAAGACTCTCAGCCCGTGGTCACGAAAGTGCTAGAGCCATCTGAGGATCTAAAGAACACGCACACATATAACGAGAAAAAGGTATCCAAGAGCCCGAAGAGGTACACCTAAAAATCCCTGCAGCACCGTCCGTATTATGCGTGCCCAAAAACTGAACTGCACGTCCGTCCCACCGTTCGAGTGCAGTAGCATCACCCCCTCCCTGTCCCACTCAATACCAAAACGGAAGATTGCCGACTACAGCAT